CGTGAAGCTAGCGACCCTACCCCAAAAATTCCGTCGAACTGCCACAGAAACTTCAACTCACAATAAAAAAATGTGAAAAATACAAAAAGTATTAAAAACAAACTTATTCTTCGTTGGAATCGGAAAGGCGAAATGACACGGACTGGCCGGTGAAAGCCTTCGGGAAGCTAGCCAGTCAGCCGATGTGTCTTCTCTCTCTCGACGAAAGCAAGAATAAGAGTAGGGACGTGGAATGTACGAGGCTGGGAAGGCTGCCCAAGTAGCTAAAGAAATGAGTTGAGAAGGTATAGAAGTTCTGGGAATCTGAGACAACAGATGGAATGGATGTCTGTTAAAAAAGAAGCAACTAGGAGCGGATCTCTCAAAAAATGGGGATGGATCAGGCGCATGTTGAGGAATCCGTCGATTGATATCGCGCGCCAGATCATTGTTCGAGTGGAATCCCAATAGGAAGCGATGATTAGGTTGTCAGTGGTCGTGTGGCGAGGAGGAGATAAGAGATTATGTTCAATCGTGGACTCAGATGAAGAGGACAGCACCAAGTAGAGATGTGTTGTTGAAGCCTTACAATCCACTCGGAAATCAAGGGAGTAATGACAGTAAGTGTTTACGAATTCGAATACATAAATTGCCAATGTGGATTGAAATGAATATGTCTCATAGGACAGTTGTTCTTATCGACTTTTAAGACATTTACAACTAATCAAATTTGGTCACGGATCGATATCAGAGTTAGAGAACGACTGAATACTACACGGAAGTACTGGACCGCTGTTTCGTTCTAGTCAACGACTCTTCAGTTCACTAGTGGCCAACTACTAGACCAAGTTGCCTGGAGTTCTAGTGAGATGTGGTGACCACTAGGGTCTGACAAGTCGAGAATAAGGACAAACACTCATCGATTATATTGGATAGTGGTGGCACTATATACCACGGACTGACAGAAGTCATGGACCATTGTTCTACACTCCTCCCTACTGTCTGCGAGTGACCGTGTGGTCAACAAGCTCAGCCTCGAAACTTGAAGGTTCCGGATTTTATCCCCGATAGGGTCATGAATGAATACTGATGAAGAACGATAAACTACGACGGAACGGCTGTGCGGTACTCCCTGCTAGTTTCTAATGATTTTCTAACTGATATCAATCTAAGATTAAAAATATGCTGTCAAATCCCTGCAGAGCAACACTAAGAAACACTTCTCATTGAACTCAGTTCTTAATGTTTAGGAATCGGAGTAGTCGTAGCCCACCCGGTTAATCACAACGTGTTACTAACTTCAAAGTAATTTCGAACTCGGTGTGTGGAAATACCTTGATGAGTACCCAGAAATACCTAGTTAGAGTTAGTGGTGAGTAGTTCATAAATGTCGACTTACAGCTTTGTAACACGGTAATAATTTAGGATTCTATATGGGGTTATCTGCTCCCCATTTTTCAACTTCACGTAACACAGCTGGAATGACAGAGACGACAAGAGTGTGCAAGACAGAGGCTATCACTTCACTGGCGGGAAAACTCTGATTTCAAACCAACGGTGCCCATGGGTTTTAATGCCTAGGCAGAACGTCTCAGGTTGACAGGGGGAAGATCGTGTGTGAGCAGCAGCTGAAAGTTTATGGACAGTTGTAGAACCATATGACTGTGATGGAGAAGAACCAAGTGCGATGGAGATGTGTCAATGAGGCTCTGTATTCGACTCGAAGCGCAAGACATGAGTAATAATAAAATAATCAAGTGTTAGTTTGCAGGGAGTTGATTGGTTACTGTACTATCGGAGTATTAGTGGTTGTGATGGCTGTTGCCTAGTTCCATTATGGGTGAAATTTATTTTGATGAAGTCTTACAGTAGTGTTACACAGTAATATTTACTGATGACCGCGTTTGCGGCACAATTTATTACTAGTGCTCATAATCATATCAAGACACTACTCACTCAACTTTCTAGCTTCGTTTATATAATTCCACTATTTTTCATTGCTTGACTTGATGAGTGGTAGTAGTATTTTCCGTCA